TGGAGATTAGGACCATATACCAATCCCTCTGCTGAGAGCTATTTCTCCACCCACAGCTATCCTATTTGAATTGTCCAGGGCCCTGGATGCCTAGGGACTGAGTCATGCAGGACTCTGGGGGAGGTATTTTTGACAGGGGGTGGCTGCTGGCCTCCCCCGCATCCTCAAGCAATGCCCAGCCCTGCTATCCTGCACCTTCCCCGCCCTCTTAGAGACTGTGGGGGCTGCGATGACTGGATCCAATTAACCTTGCTGTTCCAAAAATAAATATGCCAGAGAAGGGGACACCAACAGAACGTGCACCATCGTTCCCCCTTCCTCACCCTCTGGCCCTCCACTCTCTCCAACTGCACACAGTGTCCTGAGCCTCAGCCTGCAGATGCAGGCTCCCAGCCCACCACCCTCCAAGAGAAACCCATCTCCTCTCTGCTTCTGGAAAGGAATTAAGAAATGAAATCACCGTGTGCTTGTGCTATACTGGCACGGCTGCCTAGAGCTGCCTGAGCTGGGCCTTATAAATATCTCCCCAAACTAGCATGCTGTGGCCAAAGCTCTCTCAATGCTCAAGTCTGAGCTGCGGAAGAGCTGTCTCCTCCCAGCCCAGCCCTCTGAGAGCATGTTTTCTGAGATTCACAGAAATTAAAGCACTTACCCCAAGGTAATCCCTGGAAACAATTTGAATGTTAGCACCAATGACTTCTGCAAAAAAGAAGAAGAAGAAGAAGAAAGAAGAAAGAAGAAGAAGAAAAGAAGAAGAAGAAGAAAGATAATTAAAAGACACATACAGAGGCCACTGGGGTAGGATTATTACTATAAGTACTATAATTATTACTGTAAGGAAAGGAGGACTCCATCCATCTTATCAACACAGACGGAGACACACACAGACACACAGACACACACACACACACACACACACACACACACATTTATAACCAGGAAGGCTAGAGAACGATCTACAATGTCAACAGAATTTCTGAGATGTCTTTTTGAAGGAAACTTCAGAGCATCTGAATGAATAATTACCATGATTGAGCAATATTACCATCAAAATAGCACCACATGCCAGGTATTGTGCTAAGCACTGCTCAAGAGGTAGTATGACTACACAAAGTGAGTAATCAATCAGTATTTATGTGGATGTGTGGGGGGGGTGGATGAATGGATGGATGTGGATGGATGGATGGATGATACATGAGCAGACAGATAGGTGGGTAGATGGATAGATGGATAGATGAATGAGTGGATGGATAGATGGCGGGTGTCAGTCCGTTCTGCATTGCTATAAAGGAATACCTGAGACTAGATAATTTATAAAGAAAAGAGGTATATTTTGGTCCATGGTTCCTGCAGGCTGTATGAGAAGCATGGCACAGGCACCTGCATCTGGTGAGGCCTAAGGAAGCTTCCAATCATAGCAGAAGGCAAAGGGAGAGCTGGCATATTCCAAGGCAAGAGAGGGAGCAAGAGAAATGCCAGGCTCTTTTAAACAACAGCTCTCACGTGAACCAACAGAGCAAGAACGCACTCATGACCACAGGGAGGGCACCAAGCCACGGTGAAGGATCCACCCCCATGACCCAAACACCTCCTACCAGGACCCACCTTCAACACTGGGGATCACATTTCAACATGAGATTTGGAGGGAACAAACGTGCAAACCATCTCAGAGGGGTGTGGATGTATGGATGAATACATGGGGAAAAAATCATCTCTGTTCCTCACAACGAGGTTATAAGAAATAGCAACCCCATTTTACAGATAAGGAAATGACGCTCAAGGAGGTGACCCCGCGTCTGGTCAGCAACTGCACAGGAATGTGAGCCCACCTTTGGAGCCCCTGCTTCCTGTTGAAGAAAGCGCTTCATAGCAACCACCACCAGCTCCAACAGCTCAGTTATTAGCCAGGCACTCTGTGCCAGGCAGTGTTCTAAGTATTATTTACATGTCTTTTTTTGGCTTTGGTTTTCTTTCTTTCTATTTCTTATTTTTGAGATGGAGTTTCACTCTTGTTGCCCAGGCTGGAGTGCAAAGGCGAGATCTTGGCTCACTGCAGTCTCCGCCTCCCAGGTTCAGGCAATTCTGCCTCAGCTTCCTGAGTAGCTGGGATCCACAGGCATGCACCACCATGCCCAGCTAATTTTGCATTTTTAGTAGACATGGGGTTTCTCCATGTTTGTCAGGCTGATCTGGAACTCCCAACCTCAGGTGATCTGCCCACCTTGGCCTCCCAAAGTGCTGGGATTACAGGCATGAGCCACCACATCTGGCCTAACGTGTCTTAATTTAATTGATCCTCCAACAACCTTAGGAGATAAAGCTAGGAAGATGAGGCATAGAAAAGCTAAGGAACTTTCTCAAGGTCATCCTACTATTAGGGAGCCACGTTGGACTCAAATGTCAGCCACGTTGGACTTCAGAGCCAGGGCTCTCCTCCACTCTGCTACCTCTGAGAGGCCAGGCACAAATGACAGGTGTGTCACCTGTAGGAATACGCTGGGGCACATGGACAAAGCAGGGAGGCTGCTGAGGGGCTGGAGGAATTGCTGGATCTTGGAGATGGCTGGGTGGCTGGGGAGAAGGGGAATGGCCCTGCCCTGGGGCAGGTTTCTCTCTGCCTGACAAAGGCCAGACCTCAGAAGGAACAGTCATGGCACAGCCAGGATCTACCCCCAGGGTCTGGAACTGGCTGGGGTAGTGGGAAGAGCACTGAATTCAACTCGGGGCACCTAGATTTGACCTGGGCCCTGTGAGAGCCTTCTCACCATACAGGTGGACAAACAGGATAGGGTGACCTGTGAATAGGGAGACATTGTCCTAAGAAATGGTCAAAAGAAAGACAAGGGGCTGCCAGGTACCAAGCAGAAGAGGAAAGGGAAGAAGTTGCCTGCTGAGATGAAGGCCTCACCCTAAAGCCTCCCTGTGCTAGCGAAGTTCCTGGGGCCACAAAGTGTCCCTAGAAGCCAGGCTAAAGGGCAGTAGCCACAGGCTGGGGCATTAGGCAGGTGGCAGAGTCCCAACATCTCAATCAGCAGGATCCGGGCCCTGGTGGTTAGACTAGAACCTCTATAAGCATGGGGAGTGAACATGACTTTTCCATCCCTGCTCTGATACTGCAGTCCCCCAAATTCCCAGCCAGCCACCACCTCCTAGAAGCCCTCCAAGAAGTGACATCCTTCCTAAGAAGATGCGGCCCATTTTTCATTTTCTTCCTCTCCTCTCATCCATGAAGGTCACATAAGACATTAAGTTGTCTCTGCTGAAACCTACAGCAGAGAAAGCTAGGGGCTGAGATTATGCAAGGAGGTCCTGGGAGGCCCCACAGACCCAGGTCAGCTTTTCCATATCTTCTGCAGCCCAGAGTCTCACCCTGTAAACTGTGCTGCCTGCTAACTCACCACTGCAAATGGGACCTCATCCTCAGGGATCCTCAGCCTCAGAGCACAGGGGATCAGGGACCTGAGGTGGGGCACATGATCTCAGAAGCTAAAGTCACATGAGAAAAGGGAACCCAACACTGTCTGAGCAACATGGTTCTAGTCACTCCCCTCCCCAGAAAACATTGTACTGGAAAGAAATGCACCAAAGCCATCATATCTTTAGTACTAGAGAAATACAAACACAAAACTCTTTTCTTTTTTCTATTCTGTTCATTCTCTGTGATGCAGCCATGTTTTTTTATAATGAAAGTGATTTTAATAACGGTGATGCAATAGAGGAGAGGATCCCCTTCCCATAATCAAAGTGGCAGGGAAGATTGAAATTGAAGCCTTAGCCCCGACACAGGCCCCTCCTGTTGGCCTGATTAGTCTGTACTTCTATTCAACTCCTTTTTATCTGAATGGCCCAGGAGCACTGCTAGAAACAAAAGGTCTCAGAACCGTTTCAGGCATTAGCAAACAGCTCTGCAACCTCCCACTTGGCAGGCTATACTAGTAACAACCATGGAGAGACCAGTTATTAAGCCGCTAAGTTGGTTCACTGCTGTTTAATCAACCATTGGATTTTACAGTCTCCCATCCTTTCATCTTCATGATACCACTGGAAGATGACTATTGACTCCATCTTACAGACAAGACAGCTCAGGCTTAGTGATGCTAAGTGACATCACCCATGTGTAGGCAGCTAGGAAGGTGCTTCATGCATAGCAGGGTTAGAAAGAGATTACATGACGTGAGGAATCTCTGCCTGTTCACTGTCCAATCCACTGGTGCTCAGCAAATCGCTGCAGGATGCATTCAACCATCCAACACTCTTCAGATCATCAAAACAATAGAATCTGAGAGCTGTGGCTGTAGCACTGCCACTAAGTCACTGCTGGCTTTATGCAAGTCACTCACCTTGAGGGAGCTCAACGAGCATGCTGTGTTGGTCAGCGATGCCTAGGAACAACAGCAGCTTGGGCTCAAGAAGGAGCTTGTTAGAAATGCAGAGCCTGAGACCCCACTCCAGACCTGGGGAGTCAGAATCCCTGGGGAGATGGTATGATCTGGATCTGCGTCCCCTGTAAACCTCATGTTGAAACATAATCTCCAATGTTGGAGGTGGGGCCGTGTGGGAGATGATGGGATCTCAGAGGCAGATCCCTCACGGCTTAGTGCAGTCCTTGCAATAGTGAGTGAGTTCTCATAAGATCTGGTTGTTGTAAAGTGGCACTCCCACCCAGCTCTCTCTCTTGCTCCCATTCTCACCAAGGGAGAAGCCTGCTCCCTCTTCTCCTGCCATGATTGAAAGCTCCCTGAGGCCTCACCAGAAGCCAAGCAGATGCCAGCACCATGCTTCCCACTCAGATCACAGACCCATGAGCCAATTAAACCTCCTTTCTTTATCAATTACCTCGGGTATGTCTTTACAGCAATGCAATAACAACCTAATACAGGTAGGATCTGGCTGCCAAGATTAACCTGACCATGGGATTCTGACACATGCACACATACACCCAAAAGCTTGAGAAGCGAGTGGCTTCTGTGAATTGAGGCTTCCCTTTGCTGCCCCTGCAGGTGGATTTCGAAGATGTGATCGCAGAGCCTGTGGGCACCTACAGCTTTGACGGCGTGTGGAAGGTGAGCTACACCACCTTCACTGTCTCCAAGTACTGGTGCTACCGCCTGCTATCCACGCTGCTGGGCGTCCCACTGGCCCTGCTCTGGGGCTTCCTGTTCGCCTGCATCTCCTTCTGCCACATCTGGGCGGTGGTGCCGTGCATTAAGAGCTACCTGATTGAGATCCAGTGCATCAGCCACATCTACTCGCTCTGCATCCGCACCTTCTGCAACCCGCTCTTCGCGGCCCTGGGCCAGGTCTGCAGCAGCATTAAGGTGGTGCTGCGGAAGGAGGTCTAAAGCCAGGTGGGGTAATGGGGGTGGCAGGGCAGGGGGCATTGGGCCAGGCTGGTCCTCAGGGGACTTCTTCACAGGGGCTGCTGGTGAGCTCTTTCTCTCTAGGGACTGCTCCATACTCCCCATGCTGGAGCACACAGTGTAGGGAAGCCAGAAAGAAAAGACAGCCCAGCCAGCCACAGAAGCACAGTGGCCCTTCGCTCTCCCCCAGCCCTACCACGATGCCCCCATGCCCAGGCGTGAGGGAAGATCATTTGCTAAGAGGCAGCTACTGCAAGTCTTTGCATTCACTTGTACTGTAACAACATAAACCAACACGCGGTTCCCACCCAGGGCCAACCTGTCCACGCGCACCTAGGAAAGTGACCAGTGACCATTGGCATTAGGAGGCTGGCTCCAATAAAGGGTTTGGCTGCATTTGGGGAATGCTGCATTTTGTTTGGGTCTGTAAGATTGGTTTGTGTCCTGACCAGCTCCGAAAAATGGTACTTCACTGCCCTGAAAAACAAGACACAGGGAAAGTTGGTTGTCTCTTCACTTGGCCAAATCCAAGGAGCAGAAGAGTCTTTTTCTTCTTCAGATTTTATTGTTTGCTGGGATTGCACGTGTTCCTTGAGAGACCAGGTTCAAGTGACTTCTGTTGCCCGAGCCCAATAATGGAAGGAAATGGTCCCTGGGCTGCCAGGGGCAGTGACCCTCCCAGGGTACCACTGAGGGCAGAACCTGGGTTCAAGCCACCCTGAACCTCCTCTGTGGCTAACCAAGCCCCTGAAATGCCCAGCACTGCCACTTGACATGAGAATACCTTTGGCCCCAAGAGATGTGACGAAGGCACAAGGTCTAATTTGTGCATGTATGAACTCACTATGGAAATAAAATGCAATAGAAAGAGCATGTATGTACCACTTCCTCTCTACACACACACACACACACACACACACAGCCTTTATTTTTTTTAGGGCTGTCTTTTCCAAGTGTGCTATCCTTAAAAAAGGATGGGGACGGGGGTTAGCATTTGTGGTCCAGTTTTTTTGGAAACACTGTATATTTCTCTCAGAGATTTTCAATAGACATTGACACATTAAAGGCTCTGACAAGTCCTGCAGCAGAGAAACCTATCTAGACCAGTATACCCCCCGTCCTATCTGACCGTTTTTCTTTTTCTTTTCATGTAACACCCATTTAGGTCTCATATAACTAAGGTTCCACAGCACTTGTCAGGTTTTCAGAGACATTATTCATGCCTGGCCACGAGCCCAGTGGTCTTGGGAGGCAGTGTGGTGGAGTGGACCGCACAAAGCTTGTGAATTAGGAGGCAGGCAGCCTTGGGTCTAGTCCTGCTTCTGCTCCCTGCCTTCTCTGCCTCAATTTTATCATCCACAAAATGATCTCTAATGTGCATTTTGGCTCCAAAATCTTACCCGACTTTGGTTTTCTCCTAACATCTTACGTAAAATTCAAAACAGGGAAAAGTTGAACAGCTACATACCCATGTAGACTGTACCATTAACATTTTCCTAGCCCAGCTTTCTCACATCCCTACCCATCTATCCACCCTCTATCCATCCCACCAATCTCATCTTTATGCATGTTTAAATACTTTGCAGATATCAGTACATTTTACCCCAAACACTTCATCTTTCATCCCTTGTTTTCTGCAGATGAGAAAGTTACAGTCCAGAGAAGTCAGCAACCTTGCTAAAAGGCACTCACCTAGCCAGCATTATCGCTGTGGCTCCAGCCTGCCGCCTGTGCTCTCCCTTGGGGATCTTCCACATTGTCCGGGGTCTCGGCAGGCCCAGCCTCCCCGCGTTGAAAAGAATTAAGGCTGATGTTACTTATGTCCTCCTCAAAGGGCCTGCCCTTTCAAACGTCTCTTGAAATCACAAGGCCACCCGTTTCGGACTTGGAATCTTGGGTTACATAGAGAATTTGCCATCTTGGTATTTGCTATAACTAGATTTGGTGATGACTCCAATTTTTCAAGCTCACTCTCTTTCTCTAAGGGCAGACTATGGTATGTGCTTAATGACCCGCAAAGTTCACAGAACTGGAGACAGGACACACATCTGAGATGCATGGGTGTCTGAGGAGCTCTTCTCCCTCCAGGAACCCCCTTGAGAAGTAGCAGGCAGACAATCACATTGGGGGTGTGATGAGAATGGGCACAAGGCAGGAGGCTGGAGTTCCCATTCCCTTTCATAAGATACATAGGGACCACCAGGGACTCCTGTTTCAAACGCAGGTTCCAAGGCTCTAGCTCCAGAGATTGATTCAGTAGTAGGGCCCAGGAATCTGCATTTTAACACAAATTCATCTGTGATGCTGCAGATGGCTCCCAAAACCACTTTCAAGAAATATCTTTTAGGGTCCCTTCAAGGTAACAGTCTAGAATCCTATTATTACCAGAGTTCAACTGTGTTTCAGAGAAGGTTCAGAGACATCATACATGATGTTTGTTCCTGAATCTTAGAGCATCTTCTCACAGAACTCTGACAAATGAGTGCACCTCTGATTCCAGAGAATGGGACCAGGGCCCCCTTCCATCCATTGCCCAGCCCATGCACCTGTGCCATAATCAGGCCAACAGCTCTGAAGCCCTGCAGGGATCTATAATCTACAATCCACCAGTTCCAGTCACCATTCTTGGGAAGAAGAATGGGGGCAAAGCAATGTATGGAAACAAATGTTTATTAAGTGCACTCTCTATCAAGCTGCTAATGAAGCAGACACCTTATGATCAGCCATGCCATTCACCAACTGGCACAGTTACACCAGGGTGCCAGAGCAGGTCACCACAGTAGAACAAAATCAAGGTGTTCACGTTTTGCCTTAAGTGGCGTTTCATTGCTATTGAATACAAAAAGGGTTAAATACTTTGAAACCAGGATTGTCTTAAAAGACAGCCTGCGTTGTCCTCTTACATTTCCTGAAGTAGCAACACATAGACTCAACCCAAAAGGAGACCAAAGTATGTGCCAGATTCATTATTTCAGTGCCTAAAGAAATAAGGCTCAGAGTCTCCACATTCGCTTTTGATGATCAGAGCCATAAAACATTCCTGAAGACAATCTGCAGCTCCCACTTCCTGGCACCCCAGCCATGCATATGGTTGTAAACAAGTCTGAAACTGTAGGGAAAGGTGGTTGGCAGACCTCAGGCATGGAGTCTGGGGAGGAGGCCAGAAACGACTGAGCCCGAGGTAGCATTCTGAACCCCTGTGCTCATTCTTCCAGGCTTTAGCTTCTTAAAGTGGTGAAAATATTCTGAAGGCGATGGGTGAGAGGTGGGAGTGTATATCCAGTGGGGCTGTTGAAATTGAGCATCACTTATCTGCCATAAAACAGATTCCTGTGCTATAATGAGACTCAACATACCAGCCAGAACTTTCACATGAAGAGAGTGACAAAGCATCACACTCATTTCAGATGCCCAAGAATCTTACAACTCCAGGGTTCTCAGGAATGCTGTGCCCCTGGTCAGAAAATCTACTGTGAGTTGCTGTCCCTTTGATCCCTAGTGGCCTCTGTTGACTCCTAGGATGGCAACTTTTCCGGGAACAGCAGAGACCTGGGGCATCTCTGGCAGGTGAGCAGCGAGACATGGATGCTAACAGACCCCACTACTGCTGCATTTGCACCCAGAGCACACCAGTGGTCCAGCACATGGGCACCAGGGGCCCAGACGAGCATCCTGTTAGCTTCCCAAAGAGCAGACTGGCTGGTGTTGATGGTCTTCATGCATGTCCCAGCAACACTGAGCAAAGCTTTGCAGTCCAAAAATGATCCTATCTTCCATCTCCGAGTAATACTAAAGACCTTGTGCTAAATCCTTAGACTTTGAACACTGACATTTTAGTGCATGCCTCTCTTCTCCCAGAACATTTAGACAATGCTAGCTCATTCATGTGTGTGTGTCAGGGGGCGGGGTGGGCTATATGGCTACTGAAGCATGCAGGAAGAAGAAACTCTGTTATAAAGAGAGAGACAGGATCTGTGGTCTTTGAGATGTTACTGCTGTATCCCACTAAGTCCAAAAATATGTTTGGAAACTTAAAAGGTGCCCCACTGTGCACTGAACTGGTCAATCCCTGACCTCTGATCAACACTGTCCTGTACTTAGTGACTAAAGGTATTTCTTAAAAGTGGTCATGTTCTAACCTCAAGGCTGAGAGGACATTTGAGAACATGTTCATTAGGTAAGAAAGATCTCTGACACCCCTAGTGAATTGCTATTTAAATAAAACATAACCACCTCTAGCTATAAGGCATCATTTATGCCTTTACTAAAGCAAGGTAGGGATATTATCACTGCTGTTACTTTTTGCCAAAGAGAGACATGATCTCTTGCAGTAAAACCAAGTAAGAAAACCATGAGAAGCCTCTCAAGCAGTGAACCACATAGAGAAACAAAAGCTCTGAGAGGCAAGAGATTCCAAGGAATTCATCCATCAAGCTGGCCTTCTCTGAGTTCATCTTTGAACATTTTTCATTTTTTTAAAGTTCATTGGTTTTTAGTACATTCTCAAAATCATGCATCATCACCACTAATTTCAGAACATTTTCATCAACCAAAAAAAGAAACTCCCATACCCTTTGTAGTCATGCCTTGTCTCCCACAGCCTCCAGGCCCTGGCAAACACTAATCGATATTCTGTCTCTATATATTTGTCCATTTTAGACATTGCATTTCAGTGGAATCAGACAATATGTGGGCTTTTGCAACTGGCTTCTTTCACTTCATGTAATGTTTTCAAGGTTCATGCATGTTGTAGCCTGTGTCAGCACTTCATTGCTTTTTAGAGTCAAATAACGTTTCATTGTATGGATATACCACATTTTATTTCCCATTCACCAGTTGATAGACATCTGGGTTGTTTCCACTTTTCGGCTATTACAAATAATGTTGCTATGAACATTGGCGTACAAGTTTTTGTGTGAATGAGGGTTTTCATTTCTCTTGGGTAAATGCCTAGGGGTGGCATTCCTGGGTCATATGGTCACTCTACATTTAACTTTTTGAGGTACTGCCAAACTGGTTTTCAAAGCAGGTGCACCACTTACATTCCCACCAACAATTTACATTTCTACCAGTTTCTCTACACCCTCACCAGCACTTGTTATTGTCCATCTTTTTATTGTAGGCATCCTAGTGATTGTAAAGTGGAATCTCATTGTGGTTTTGACTTGCATTTCCCAATGAATAATAATGTTGAGCATTTTTTTCATGGCTTATTAGCCATTTGCATATCTTCTTTGGAGAAATGTCTATTCAGATCTTTAGGCCATTTTAAAAATTGACTTATTTTTCTCCTTATTATTGTGTTATAAGAGTTATTTATATATTCCGGATACAAGTCCTTTATATATATGACTTGCAAATATTTTCTCCCATTCTGCAGGTTGTCTTTTCACTTTCTTCATAAGGTCTTTTGAATTACAAAAGCTTCGAATCTTAATTAAGTCCAATTTACCTATTTTTTTTATTTTTTGCTTGTGTCTTTGGGGTCATATCTAAGAAACCACTGGCTAATTCAAGGTTACAAAGATATATGCCTATGTTTCTTTCTTAGGTTTTACAGTTTTGGCTCTTATATTTAGGTCTTGGATGCATTTTGAGTTGATTTTTGCATATGGTGTGAGTAAAGATCCAACCTCATTCTTTTGCACATGCATATCATTGTCCCCGTGCCATTTGTTGAAAAGACTCTTCTTTCTCTATTGAATTGTCTTGGGAATCTTGTCAAAAATCAATTGACCATAAGTACAAGTGTTCATATCTGTACTCTTCATTCTACTCCATATGTCTATCCTTAAGCCAGTAACACACTGCTCTGATTACTGTACCTTTATCGTAAATTATGAAATCAGGAAGTGTGAATCCACCAACTTTGT